TCAGGCCAGGACATGTGAAGAATATTTCCTCATTTTAACTGTGAATTTGCTAACTTTGTGATTATTTCTCCAAACTTTATAAAAAATAAATCTTATGAATAATCAGATGTGAACTCAGAAATACTTTGCAACATCAGAGTTCCACAAACTAACTTCCCTTTTCACTTCCCAATAAATTTCTAAGGCAGGGCTTCCCAAACTCTAATCTGTGGACCACCAGTGGTCTGCAAGCTTTATTCAGGTGATCCACAGTGTCCCTGTGAAGAAGGGCAGAATCAGCAGTTGCTCCATCATTCCCTGAACGTGGTGGTCCATGCAAAAGTTGAACAGGATGGACACAACAGCCACATCCATTGCATTAAATATTCATATTGTATTATCTTTTATTTTCTAATCTTGTTTCCGATACTGTTTTTTCTCACGTAAAATTCAACATGTAAGAAATAAAAGAAGCAATAAAATACAACTAAAAATATACGGCATCTAGCGCAGCACATTACAATTGCCACAACAGACATGAAAATCCTTAAGTCTGCTAAGACCATCAGCAATTTTCAAGCGAGGTGTATCCGGGAACCATTGGTTAAAGTAAATTTGCATTAACTAGAAACAGCTATTCTCCCAAGTGCTAGTGGCTGTGTCTCAGCTAAAGGTTGAACTTACATTACACAATACCTGAGGGCTGTTGCCTGAACAGCATTCCCCACATTGATTTCTTGGCCTGGCCAAAACTTGCATCCCTTCACTAAATTGTCAACTGCTATAGGATAAGGGATAAGGGATTGGTAAACGGTGAGCATGTTGGTGTTTTGAGAAAGGGTGAGAGATATTACATGAAGTGGGGGAAGGCGAACACATTTGACCCAGGAATTCCATTTGGGTGTCAGTCTTATGTGATATAATATGTAGTTCTACCATAAGTATTCTGTTCTTCAGGACCAATATGGCAGCCTCTTACGTTCATGCCAAATATGTCAGAATAATGAATTAGTCTCTCAAACACACAAATAGAACCAAGCAGAAGTTCAGTGGAGAAAACTCATGCCAGCGATCTTTGCTTTTATGGGGTGCCTCTCGTAAGAATGTGAAAGCAGATCATAGGCTTTGGATAGCTCAGTCATAACCTCACCTTTTTCTTTTATCTACTAGCTCCCAAAGCCTAGAACAGCCCAGCAATTGTATGTTCTTTTAACTTAGATATATTAAGAGTTGCTTGAAAAATTGTTGACTTAACTTGGGGAGGTTTGCTATTTCAAAATATGAGAACCCTTGAATTAAAGAACATGCTTAGTGCTTTGCTGAATTAAAGCCACATCAAATACACTGTGACTTCCTCTTTACGTCAAGAGTTTCATGATAAAATACTCTTTTTGCATTGCTATGTTAAGTTTGTAAGAACTGCTGGATAAAATTTACTTTCAATGCAATTGCCCTGCGGCTCTGGAATGACCTTCTCGAAGGACGCCAAAAACTGTCTCCCCAATGACATTCCAGAGGGTACAAAACTAAGCTGTTCCCCAAAGAACTTTGGAAGTCAAGATTAGTATGTTGGCCATGACCTATAGTTTTTCTTGGTAGGCTGTGGAATGTTTTGTGGAGCTTCTCTGAAAATGAAGTGCTGTTGATTGGTGGGTTGGCTGTAGAGACTGAGTGACACCCCAGACATGCAATGGAGGCTTCCTGGCTCCTCCCCTGAGTATAATGTTTTTCTCAATTGCTGCTTCTGCAAAATGGAGTAGCACAAGGGGGCACAGAGGAATGAGGAAATCTGAAGAATTTGGTGAGGCTAAAGTGTCTTTCCACTCATGCAGTTATGACTTTGGATACAAGCCATTCTGCTTTGGGTTTTTATGTAATTTTGAAATCCTGTTTTATTTTTTATGTAAACTGCTTTGACCTTAGGAAACGGGTTAGATAAATGTCACAACTACACAAATAATTAAAAGGGTCAGCATAGTGCTTCAAAGAGCTTTAGCAAGAGGCAAGTGGCGTCTTGTGACGACAGTGTGCTTGAACCTCAACATTACTTGACATTCAGCACTATCTTAAGATAACTTTGGATGCTAACATAAATGAAAATTATGGAAGATTTTGGGGGGGCAAGTTTCCTGCAACCTCCACTACTCTGCAGCTTCTAGCACCCCATTAAAAAAAGGTCAATAGCAGGCATGGGCAAACTCATCCCTCCAGATGTTTTGGGACTACAACTCCCATCATCCCTAGCTAACAGGACCAGTGGTCAGGGATGATGGAAGTTGTAATCCCAAAATATCTGGAGGGCTGAGTTTGCCTATGCCTGGTCAATAGCTTCCTGAGCAATGTAGGATACTGCTGGGGGATAGAAGAAGCACCTGAAATTTCCACTTAGGATCCTAAGTTATGTTGCCTTAAAGAAGTTAATGGAAAAAAATATTTATGTCCCTCTTCTCTGCCCAGCAGCCCCCTAACCCTTCAAAAAAAAACTTTTCAAGCAGTGCAGGTGGATGAAAGGTGATGGTGGGATAAGGAGCTTTCCTTTCTTGCTCTTCTATAAGTTAATTCTCTTTTTAATTTTGAATATAGGAATAAACAGTTACAGTTCTCCCTGCACCAATAACCATCATCATTAAAGGTATCAAACATAAAAAGTGCAGACAGTCCCTTTCCTCTTATAGGGGCAACAACTTGCCATGCATAAGGGCCATAAATGCAATTTCAGCTATATCCAATCCAAGTTCTCAAGAAACAACATTGGGAAATATTTCTGCTGAAGCCCTGGAAAGCAGTCAATAGTCAGGGTACATTACTGGGCTGGGCAACCCATATATATGGCAGCACCTCATATCTTGTGTATCTGTTAAGGTGAATGTCTGAAATTAGGCAAATATCAACATGGTAAATGGGAACAATGCCAATTTTGAGATGGGTATATTCAAAACGTCAGAGATACACCAGTGAAAGCTGACAGCCACTAATTCTTGTGCACGCATTGTGATATACAGTACCCTCTTGTATCTTCACAAATATCAAACCATCTACTTTATGTAGAAGCAGATAAGAGCAGCAGAAGCCCAGAGGAAATATAGGTTTGAGGCACACACGCTAGAAAAGATTTTGTGTGATTATTTAGGCTGAAAATTACAACCAAGTCACTCTAACAATCTCAAAGGGAATGTTTAGGCAAGGGTGTCAGAGGCTGACATTGCTGGGCATATATAAAAGCCCACACTGTAGCAACCCCAGAACAGATTTAGAGGGAGCACAGGGAGAGGGGAGGAATGTGCAATAAGAAATACTTGCACTAACGGAACTATTTCTCTGGAAACCGCCCAATAGATTTTTGAAGGTTAGGAACGAAGCTCTGCTTTTTCAGCATTTCATTCTGGGCATTCATAAACACAGCTCCCAAAATTATAGGAAGATGCTTAAAAAGAATTCTAGGGCATAGGCCTCGGATATTCCCTGAAGTTTTACAAATCTTTTTTCCCCAGCACACATCATCACCTGGAAATGTGTATTTAATTAAATACTGTGTGCTTTTTGTTTTAAACAAACCCAAAGGGAAAATTTTGCTCTTTTTCTTTCCATCAAGATTGTGCACAAGGTAATACGGCATGACATAATATCCTTCCTGAAATCGAAGCCGCGGCTAGGACCAGTATCCTCCAAACATCACCGGTTCCTGAAACCATACTGCAAACAACAGAGTTTGCCTAATTGCCAAGGGAATAATCTCATTCATCAAATGCTTGTTGCTGAAATATGCATTGTTCCTTTATAAATGTGATAGGATTTCCATCAACATATCCTTTACCCAAAGCTCAACAGTAACTAAGCAGAGATAATAATTTAAGCCAGCAGCCCTGTGATCCTGGATATGGGAGTAAACACCAGTGAACTCAGTGGTACTTACTTCCAAGTAAATATGCATCAGATATAAGTGCTGAAAGTACTTATCTAGGAAAGCAGAAATCCACATATGAAACTCTGGCATCATATATTCTCATGACCGGAAGTCTGATATTGCTATTCAGCTGGCTCTCTCGATGCAGTGCAGGTGCTATGAGTGAACTGAAATGAGCCACCGTTCCCTTAAGGAACATTGTTTTTCCCATTTTCCTAAATATAAGCTGGAAGTCCATGGCACTTGGTAGTATTCTCTCTGTTGATCTTCTACGTAACTTTTTTAACGGATTCATACAGGCAGTTGCGTACCATCTTTCTGTGTGAAAGGCTCTAAGCATCACTTCAATTAAAAGCACATAAAGATGAACCAAAACTATACATTGGGGAGAGTGCTCCTGCATCCGTTCAGCCCTCATATTTTACACAGGGAGGAGGAAGAAACGGATATGCCCAAGGAGACTGCTTGTGTAGGCCTATAAACTTTCTCAAAATGAATATCGTACGTGATCTGCTTGTGAGCCCTTTGAGGACAAGGACCTATCTATTTCTGTTACTCACTCTACATTATAGAAGTAGGGTGGGCATAAATTAAAAATTCAGTGAACATAAATTTTAAAGACAAACACCAGCAGTTACTCCATAGCCTTATGGGAAACATTTGGTCATACACGGCTTACGTCTCTACGCAAGTACTTACAGCACAAGAGCACTTAAATAATGTTTAATAGCAGATAGCAGATTTATAGTACGATCGGTATATTGTATTGACTGAGATCTAGCAGAATCCTACATAGAACAACCTGGTCCAAGCAGCTAAGGTGGTGAATGGAGCATGTATGGAATGTGGAAGTTTATGATTAAGTGGATGGGCAGCTAAGTCCTTTTTCACACTACTTGCATGGCTGCACGTTTGCAAATGGATAACTACACTGCAGCTAAATGCTGTCATTCGGGTTATTTATTTCTTTTCCTTTTTAAAATCCAGTAGTAATGCTGAATAAACAGCACAATCAGAGCTATTGACCAAAAGACTTTAAGGTGAAGAAAACTGACCGGAAGCCATTCTTTCAGCAAGGAGTTATAGTTAAGAGCCTAAGGCAGCCCAAGTGACTCACCTTGTTGAATTTTAGTCAGGAGCTGATGGCGCGCTAGGATCCTACTTATCCTGTACGGAGAAGAGCGTCTTGCAGCCTGATCAAAACGCAAGCACATCTCTTGGCCTTCTGTTGACACGGCATTCACACAGTAGCAGCCTGAAGTGCTGGGCACCTGCCTCAACATCTCTGCCTTCACGTTTTTCAAAAGGAAAAACAGCAACTCTTAAATCCCAGATCTAAACCGGAGCACTGAGAGAAGAGAGGCAAGAAGTTGGAAAGCACAAGCGTTTTTTAAAAAGAGAGAGAAAGAGAGAAAGAAAGGAGGAGTGCCAAAAGCTACAATTCAGGATTCCAGCTTCCCTCACATGATCGGAAAGGGCCAATCAGTCAGAGAAAAGAATGTGAAAGTACACAGCGTGCCTCGGCAGAGGAAAGTGAAGGCTATTCAAGCAGTTGCAGCCCCACATAAACGCTGGAAGCGAAGAGCCTTGGAGCTGACTAAGCAACGATGAGCCATGATAGGAAAGTTTAAAGAAAGGAGAGAGGAAAGAGGGAGAGATTTCATGTTGCAACCATTTGAAGCGCGCAGGAGCCCCGATTTTTTTCTCTGCCTCACAGACTCAGGTCTAAGATGCCCTCTTCTCTCTACTGAGGATACGAGAACTTCCTTCCTTGACACCGGAGTTTGTTTTAAACTGTGGGATACAGAGTTCTGGAACTTTTTCTTAAAACTATCGAGAAGCAGAGTAAAGGAAACTCTTTAGCGGCACAAATAGCAGGGGGAGAAAAAGTGAAGCTGAACAATCCCTTTAAGCTTTTAAAGCATTCTAACAAAGGATAGATTCATATCACTGCTCTTTCCTAACAAAGGGTGAGGGTGATTCTCCCTCCACCCCCAATCACTCCTGCAATGACTCATGCGGGGCTTTGTCTTACAAGAAAGATGCTTCTGGTTACTATGAGTACAAAAGCCCTCAAGAATTTGGTCTTGTCATCCAATTGAATCTACATAGTCCAGGAAGCCTTTGCACATTTGAATCCTTTTTTAAAAAAATAAATATTTTCAGTACTGAAATGGACCCACTGTAAAGAGTTATCTAGCATCCCAACAATGTGTAATCATGTCGCCAGTTTTGGGTTTGTCCACTGACTTTTCTTGCTAAGCCAGGAGGATCTGTTTATTGAGCATTTATCCTGATATGCTTGCAGAACACTAACATGGAGCCGGCTTTAACCGTTCTGATCTGCTTGCACATTTTCCCATTAACAATTGCTTCATTTCATACTTCTCTGTGCATTTTTCCCATTGCTTTCCTAATCACAAAAAGGGTGCTTCTTTTTAAAAGAGGTTTTGGTGCGCTAAGGTGCAAAGCACTTGATCCACTTTAATTTTGCAAACCTAAATTTCCCATTGTGTGCTTGAACCCCTCCCACAAAATACTGACAGCCTGATATAGCACCCTTTAACCTAACATGCATTTGAGGAGCCATTTCTTAATTTTTAAAAATCATATATTTATATGGTGGTAGTGTTGCTGTTGGGATACATCTGAAATCAGGCTGAGACTCCAGCCAGGGTCTCAGGTCACCAGTCGAAGCCCACTGGACTAAGCATTTAGTTTTATTAAACACAATGTTTAGTTTTAGTTTTATAAAACACAATGTTTACTTTATTCTGCAGAGGACTCTGATGTAATGTTTTCATTTGTATGAGAAATGTTCAGTGTGTGGCTATTCTTAAAAAAGCAAAATATATACACACACAGGAAAACAGGAAACTGCCTTATACTCAGCCAGGCCATTAGTCCATTTAGCTCAGTACTGTCTGTGCTGACTAGCAGCTTCTCTTTAGGTTTTCTGACAGGGTTATCTCCCAGCCCCAATAATAATGATGATGATAATGATAATTTTATTATTTATATTCCACCCATCTGGCTGGGTTTCCCCAGCCACTCTGGGTGGCTTACAGCATAAATGAAAGCATAATAAAACATCAAACATTTAAAAAATACAACATATTATACAGACTATAAATAAACCAATAAATCAACAGAAACTAATCATCATCATTCAGGTAGGTAGCCGTGTTGGTCTGACGCAGTCGAAATATATTGTCAGCGGCTGCCTCAGGTCCCAGCTCACAAAGGACCAACGCCAGTTGCTCTTTATAAACAAAAGTCTTTATTGTGGTTCATTGTTGGTTTGACATCCGTGGCGCGCAGCGCTACGTCTGAGTCCTTAGACCGGCGAAGTCCCGTCTGAATCCGCCCCTCCTTTACACCAGTTCAATACCCGAGCTTTGCTCCACTTCTTCCTTTCCTCGCTCTGCTCCTTTCGCCTCCGGGTCCTCCTGCCCTCTGGGGTCCCAACCCTCCTGGACTCTTCGGAGGCGGATTCTTCTGACTCCTCCCCCTGTCTCCGGCGGGCTTTGGGACCTGGCTCCCAATCCGGATTTTCTGCTGTCCCTCGCGCCTCTACATTTGAACTTGGCGCTCGCCCCCAGCCGCCCACTTTCCTCCTAACGGCTACACTGCTCCCTTCACTGCTTTCTCCTTCCGGGAGGCTGGACGGCCCTGCTCTCTCCTCCGCCCCTCCACTCTCTGACGGAGGCGTGGTCAGTCCTGCCTCACTCCCTCCTCCTGCAGGAGGAAGCTTTTGTTCTAATCTGTGGGATTCTTCCCCCCCCCCCGCTGCGCTCTGGTGGGGAAGCTACCCCTGATTTCCAGCTGCCGCTTGGCGACTCCCCACTGGCCCCCCTTGCCCTGACCCTGGGGGCCTCCTTCTGGGAATCTTCTGATTCGCTGGAGAGACTCAGGGAATCTCTCTGGTCACTGTCACACCCTCCTGCGCTCCCCTCCGATTGTTCCCCTTCGCTCTCCATCTCCTCCTTCTCCTGTGGCTCAGTCCCTGAGCCCCTGACATATATATATATATAATTGCCCAGTAACACCTTAAAGACCATCTAAATTTGTTCTTGGTATAAGCTTTCATGTGCATCTTGAATGGTTTCTTTAAATTTTAGGGTTCATTATTGTTTCACAAGATGTGTATGTCTTTAAGGGCCAGAGCAAATAACATGACCTAGTTTAACAACTGTGAAGCAGTATAGCAGGTGCTGTTATGTTAATTAAGCTGTTGGGTATAGTATATAAAGAGCAGCATGTAGCTCTATCAGTCCCCTGGTGGATGGGTCACACTTATTCATATAATGTAATTTAGTGTAAAAGCAGTTTTTGTTATTTGTTATTAAACCAAGCAAAAGTTACTTTTGCGTTTCTTGAATGTGTGGTCTCCCCAGCACACCTTCTGCTGCCCAACTAATCTGCAAAAAGCCAACAGTGCATGCACACTTCTTCAGATACAAGAAGTGTGCATGCACATGAAAGCTTATACCAAAAACAAATTTAGTTGGACATTAAATTTCTTTTTTTATGATCATCATCATCATTTTGCAGTTACAACCAAATTAAAATAACCGCCAACCCCAACCCAACAAAAACAAAGCAGAGAAACCAAAATTAAAACCATTAAAAACATTTCAAAACCTTTTAGCCGGTTGCCCCAACCCAAGAGTTGTTCCAGCAATGTGCCTCTGGCCTCCCAGCAGCCTCTTTTGGCTGTTCAGGGTGAGTCTGGGCCTCACCCTCTAGGACAGGTGGAAATGGGCCTTGCAGCAGGAACACTCACAGGGATTGAGACAGGGACCTCCTGGATGCAAAGCAGATAATCTACTGCTGAGCTGCAGCCCTTCTCCACCTAAAGACTACATGGAACCCACTTATAGGATATAAATTCACCACAGAGCTGTAGAGCTTCAGAATAATGACCTCTAGGACTCTAGGACCCTGTCAGAGCCCTCATGCCTCCTTCCCAAAGCCCAGTGCCTCACTTTTCTGGCCTTGCGAAGGCAGGCGGAGGGCTGCAAGTGTGCATCAAATGTTGCCAAGGGCCACCAAAAAAACCTCTTGAGGGCCACATGTTGGACTACCCAGTTCTAGACCAATAAATTGATCAATTTATTGAAATTATTATATTCTATAATCATCAATAATAATATTTGAAATTAATATAGAGTTGAAACTTTAGGATTTACATCTTACGTTTGGCTTCTTCATGACAGGCGAAGGAGGATAGTGTTTGTTTCACAAAGCTGTCAAGCAGCTGTGCTGTGATTTGGATACTGAGTGACACTAGTACTTATTGCCAATACCAAGATGTTCCTCCTAGGTTCACAGAACTACTTAAATCAAGATTTTAAGGCTTGGGAACAGCATCTCTGCTCTCTTTCCAGAAACCAAAGGACCAGGGATGCTCTAAGAGTAGAAGAAGGGAACTGAGAGGCAGAACCTTCACCAACATCCTTTTTGGCAATGGAAAGGGCATATGTAAAACACAGGCTAGAAATATTCTCAACAAACAATGAAAATGTTTATTTCCTGAAAATGGAAGTGCCGCCAAGCTCTGAACGTATTGATTCTCACTGATTTTAAGTAGGTTTTCTTCTAAATAGCAGTGTAATCCTATGCTGCCCTACTCCACTGCTTGGTGAAAGTTCCCACACTCTCAAGAGCAGGGATGTCCAATCAGTAGATTGCAATCTACTTGTAGATCCCTGGCTATCCTTATCATGTACAAAAGTTACTCTGTGCAATCCTCCCCCCAAAAAGCTCAACAACTCTGGGCAATCCACCCACCCAACGCGCGCTCCTCCTCCCTCCAATGACAATGGGTAGATCACGGCCAGTTTTTTTATACTGGGAGTAGATCGCAGTCTCTTGGGTGTTGGACATGCCTGCTCTAGAGAGAAGACAAGGCTAAGAACAGCCCCTTCTGTTTAGCAGGTATCAGAACAGCTCTGTCCCTCTAGTGGTGGTTCAAGTCTGTGGCACCAGTGGAAAACTGGGATGGAGGATGCTAAGTTACCGGTATCTTGAGAGGCACCAAGACAAGGTTTCTTCGGAATAGGATGCTGTCATGGCACAGCTCTTTTCTTGCAATCTTGGGGTTAATGCGGGACACAGGGTGAGGGCAAACTCATTGCTTACTTTAATAATTTTACACACTATGTTTATAGTTTCAAAGGGAGTTTACCATAAAAAGAAAAAACGAGGCACTTGTTTGATACAAAAGGGCTGCCATATTAGATCAGAATGATCTCCAGTTGCCTTTCTACCCTATGGTTTTATGAAAACCACGTGGAATCAAAAACTTAATTCACGTGATCTCCTCACCCCCATTACCACTTCTGAGACGGAAATAGTATGCATGGGATTCACCTAACAAATCCCGAGAACAGAAACCCTGCACAAGGACTTCTCCTTGTGCAATGGGGCTTCCCTTCCCTTCCCCGTGTGCCCCCTTGCCCCCTAAATTGGCTCAGGGATGGGGAGAATCCCCAGAACAACACGGGAGAGGGGGATCGTTCCATCTGGCAAGCTGAAATGTTGGTGCTAATGGAACATTCATCTTAGCATGATGCTCACGTCCTCCCTATGAGATTTGGGCACTTGTATGCATGGACATCCACCTAGAGCACCTACATCAAATGTTGTATGTGGTTTAGCAGAGCGGCATGCAACTGTTCCTGCATACATAAAGGCCATTATTGCTCAGGGAAGCATCTCATAGCACCAAAGTACACATGTTTACTCAGATGTAAGTCCTAGTGAGCAATAAGCCAGTGTGTGGCACTGGTTAATGTTGGACTAGAACCTGAGAGACCCACTCAACTCTGAAACTGACTTGGTGATCATGGGCCAGATGG